CCACCCCCACCTCCACATCAAACCATGACACATGTTTACTTCCTAGCCATGCTCAGTAAATTTAGAGGTATTTCTTAATGTTTGCATTTGTTCTTCAGTTATTCAGTCTATCTTGATGTCAATGTGCATTGACACAGCCTAAGGAGAGAGCTGAATAGATGAAGCTTCTTTTTTGTTATAGTTTATCAGAAATTTGTTTTTTTTCCAAGCCTTTCCAGCACCCCACCATACTTTTTAAAAAACTTCAAAAATGTTCTCATGCTCTCTAGGCATACAAGTGTGGGGTTTTTTTTAAGTAACACTGTCTCGTATTTTGTATTAAAGTCAACTAAAGGGTTGAAGAACCTCTTATTTTTAAAAAAAAAAAACAAAGACCTACCCACATAAAAAGACTAAGTGCTTGGGATGATCTTCTATCACTCCTTGAAGGTCAGTGGTCTCCCATTAGCTGGAGAAGGAAGTTTCAGCCACACAGCTGATGCTGTGAGAACATTAAGTAGAGTCTTCTAGAGTCAATGCAGGGTTTTGACAAACCTTCAGATGGAGGGAGTTTTGCCATTCCTGTTATGGATGTTGCCATTTTTCTTATTTTCTTGCTTCCATGATTCTCTCTATGGATCCAAAGTAATTAATTTCAGTTAGCAAAACATAGTTACCCAGTCTGGCTAGCTGGGCAGGCTGACTTAAAGACCCCTCCCCATTTAAATGTCTCTTTAAAAGCATATTATTTTCTGACCTGTCTCCCACTCTGTTCCTGTCATTTAAATAGAGGTAGTACCAGCACCTCAGTATATCTTGGTCACAGGGTTTTAGCAGCTCAAAACTAACACTTAAGCTGTACTTAAGAAGAAAAAACCCAGAGTGCTAAGGAGATTACCCGAAGTTGCTGTATTGTATGCAGTTCACTTTATTGATGTTGAAAGCCTCATCAGGGTCAGGAGTATAGACCTCACTGGTTCTTAATAGACTGATATGGTTTGTGGAATGGAAACCACAATTTTCACCAGCTGAAACTTCAGAGAAGTCTTCAAAACTATGCTTGGATGAGGTGGCATGACGCCAAGTAAGCTAACCGTATGGGTCAACATCCTGGATATCATCATTTGATTAGCAAAGAAAAGGATTTCTGGTCACTGAAACGCTTATTTGATCTGGCTAGGAGTTTTTCTGTGATGTGCTGCTTTTTATTACAAAATGCTGATTTGCCATCACAGAAAAATTTCTTAGGAACATACCAGTTTCGATCAAAGTTTTGTTAAGAAACTCTCCTCAGCTGCAATATGAACTTTCTGGTAAAAGAAATACTGCACTTCTCCAAAATAGCAAATTGTCTCCTGTGCCACTAAACACTAAAAAACAGAATGGATCAAAAGTCAAGTCCTTATATGCTGCTGTTTAGGCTAATGATATGAGTCTGCGTTTCCACACTGATTGTCAAGTCCGCCAGACTGTTTCACATTTTTACATGATACTTTCTGCAAAATTTCTTCTGAGCTGCCCGCTCTGGTGACTGAATAAGTGATCAAATTTTTGTTGGTTTTACAGAGAGTAACTAACTTAGCTTTGGCACTCATTTAGTGTATGTACAATAGACCAGAGTTTGAGCCCCTGCTCTGAGGAACATTTCTTCATACAAATTGAACACCTCCAACAGTAGGGATCCTCAGTCTACAGCAGGAAATAGGCGGTTGGAACTTTTAGCTTGATTGTGAGACCAGAGCCTCAAACCTAGACATCTTACATCTGAGTCAGTGCTCTTTCTGCCCCATCAATGGGTTGCTAAATACTTTGCATGACCACAAGTCTTCTTTCTCGTTAATGAATGAGAAATGTCAAAAGGGCTAGCATTTACTCTAATGGACATGATGTTACCCGTCCAACAAGGAAATCGTTGGGATTGAATATTTCTGAAGAGCGATGGGCAAAATGTGCTCCACCCCCGGCACACACGCACACACGTTTTGGTGGGAACTGGTGGCTGTAGCCAATCTGCAGAGGGTGCAAACAATTCTCTTAATTTCAACAAATGAGCAAAAAGTTACTGCTTTTGCCAATTCTTTAATGTAATTACCACTGCCAGCCAGCATCACTTCCATCTGTATTTAGTCTGAAAGTCAGCCAGTTGGTTTTCATCCAGTTCCTCATCTCTGCCAGACATTGAGAAATCAGGGAAGTGGTTCATGTCCTCTGAGAAGGAGGCCTACAGCAAAGCAGCCTGGAATAGATGCTCAGTGTCCTTTCACTGCTCCACAGGCACAGTGAGCAAGAGCAATTAAAAACCCAGCATCCCACACCTGAGAGTTTGCACCTAGGAGCTACACCTACCTCAAAATACTGGCCTTTACATAACAAAGTGGGGTGGGGCAGAAGGAGGAGGACAGCACTTTGGTGAAATTCCTTTAATGAAGCAGTGCTGAGATCTTATCTCCTGCAGATCTTGTCCCAGTTGATCCTGATGCTGTAGGATCAATGGCATCAGCATTCCGTTGGACATCACTGGGCTACGTACTGCTGTCCCATCCCAGTTTGAAGCACGAGTGGCTGTGAGCCAGAACTAGAGAAATATTTCATGTTCGGGATTTCATTTGGCTCAGCGGCTTTTCTCAGGACATGTTGTGGAAGGACGGATAAATAGAGATGCTGGAGATATACTGAAGTACCTGGTTAGACAGACAGAAGGAGAGACATGTTGCATATATGTATTTCAAGTCTGTGGTCTTGAGTGTTCATTGAGAAGATAATTCAGAACAGTAGACAATTTTAATCCTGATACTCTCATCGTTTTATAGGTACACTGCTGGGTTTGGGAGGGACTCCTGGAGCTGGCAGTCCCCACATTGCTTGATACTCATGTGATGGTGTTTGTTCTCGTCCTAAACTAAATGCAACGGTTTTAGATGTCATTCTACTCACAGGTCACCTCTAGACTTGCTTGATATGTGAGACTCTGCTTCCTGATTTAGTTTTGTCTGGCCACCAAAGTTAGTTCATGTGTTAACAATTCATACTTCCAAAGAGCAATAATGTTTCTCACCAAATCAGAACAATGGGCCCTTGTCTCTGTAGTATGATAGGCTAGTAGTGTCCTCATTGAAGTTTCATAAAATATAGTCCTTTTTTTGAATGCCTTACTTTAATTTTAATGATAATGCAAGCATAGATAAAACTTGAAAGTGTCATCAAAGATGTAGTCAGACTTTTAATCCCAGGAGAAACTTTGGCCTTTAGTCATTTAGACTAAATAGAGGCTGAATATATAAGGATTTTTGTTTGGGTTGGGTTTTGATTAGTTTGATTTTGATGTTGGAGGTTTTTTTCCTTTTTTCATACTTAAAAAATAAATAAATTGCTTTGTGTCTCTAGTGCTTTATTTATTCCTGATACAGGCAGGTCTGAAGCTGGAACCTTGTAGAAGTTGTACCCATTTTCACCTGAGGTGATTAGAGTCAGTAGCTATTTTTTCGTTCCTTTTGAACACAAAAGACTTCTGGTTTGTAGTCTGACCTAATGGGTTTGATTCTACTAATCTTAGATAGGTCTAGATTTGAAACTTAATGATGAGAATTTCAATGTTAGTAGTTGTTGGCTGATTCACTGTGGAGCGTTTTCCTGGTATGTAAAACATTTTAGCATTTTACTTTGAGACCTGAAGTATATGCTGGTTTTGTACCTGACAGTTATATTGATGTGGGATGGGATTATGTTCTTTTCATTAATTGAAGGAAACCTGTATTCTCTTGTATTTCTGTATGTCCTTATATATTTTTGTATTGTTACAAAGGACCTTTATACTAATATACTACTATTTAAACTGGTTTAGTCTAACCGGTATGTTAGAGCAGTATAGTTCTTATATATATTTAAAATCATATCCTTGAAGGCTCAGTCTGAATAGTGGATGCTCCCTCTACGCGTAGGTGCGTACCCTCCTGACCTATAATGAGATCCATGCATGTGCCTGTACCCCTCGACTCTGATGCCCTTCAGCATTTGTGAGAAAGAAACCTGGTGAAGGCGTCTGAAATATGAGAGAGCTGTGGCACCGGTCCAGCCAGGCTTCCCAGTCTCAGGATTGGGTTACCGGAGCCTCTGATGGCCCTCTGCACCGTGTAGATGTAGCCAAAGGTGTCTGACTCTAGTTGCTTTCAATGGAGGTTGAGATCTTAATTAGATCTGCCCCCAGTTGATATTCCAAGATTCTGTGTGGTATATCTTGCACGATCCAACTGGAGACAGGATTCAGATACCAAGGGCTACAATTACCTGGCATGTCTCCACTGTTATTTTATTGTTTGAATGTTGTTGTTATTACGTAGTCCAGTACCTCATTGGAATTATTGCGTATTTAAAAGGACTTCAGATTGTTTTTCTTTTTAACAGCTTAATACTTAATTCTTTTTGTACTAGATAAATATCAAATGTTCAGTAAATATTAATTTTATTGTTGTCATTGCAGAATTTATTCCCCAGGCTTTTGGAATGCCCTTGTCCCAAGTGATTGCTAATGACCGGGCCTACAAGCTCAAGCAGGACTCTCAGAGAGAAGAGCAAAAAGATGTTTCAGATTTTGTGGCCTTTCTTTTGCCATTTGGAACTAAAAGGCAGAACAAAGAACTTTCAAGCAGTAACTCATCTCTTAGCTCAACATCCGAAACACCGAATGAGTCCACTTCTCCTAACACACCCGAGCCAGCGCCACGAGCAAGGAGGCGTGTAAGTAGACCCATCACAATGTGGTGCATGCCTGTAGGTCTGGAGGGTCTAGCCAGAGCAGGAAAAAACCCTGTTGTGTCTGTGGACTGTGGAATGATTCTTCTGTCATGTTAGAACAGTGATTTTTTTTTCAGGTGGAAGCCAGCCTGGTCAATACCAGAAAATTCTAACTGTAGTAGAAATCTTCTTTCTCTGGTGATGGCGGGAAAAGATCATATGAATTGTGCAAGTCTCTTACAAATCTCAAAGTGGCAGAGAGATGATTTACAAGTCTTCCTGTTCACTCCCTTTATCTACCTCCTTCTATCTAGATCTTTTAGATTTAACAAATTCCATCCATCTTCAACCTCATTTTTTCAGCTGGGGAAGACTAAACCTTTGTGATTGATATTCATATGTATGCTTATGTTAATCTAGCTCCACAAACTTGGAAATAAATGTAACTATTAATCTCTACCCTAATGTTAATAAAAATCCACATGGTCTAATTCTGATTATGTCCTTTGTGATAAGAAGTTGTCAGAGTAGATTTGTACCAGGCTCTTCAAAGGACTTTTCTGCGTACAGGCTATGAAGATGCCTTTGGCAGCATAATATAGTGCAGTGTTTTGGTTCGAATGTTAATGCTGCGTGTAAAATGGGTACCTGGTAGACCATTTGTTTGCAGAGTTCTGTTCCTTGTAAGTAAATTTTGTGCTCTGAACTTTCCAGTACTGCAGCTATTAACAGGACTAGATTTTTGTTGTTGTTGTTGTTACCATGGGATAGAGGTTCTAAAATTACTGCTTTTCAATTTCATTTGCAATGAAAGGAGAAAAGACACATAATAAAATACTTTCAATAAAAACCCCTGTTAAGTAATCGGAGAAAGAATTTGGGGTACAAGAACAGGCCCTGGAAAATAAAATATTTTCTTAGGATCCTCACCTTCTTTCATCCCTAGGATGAAACCTGCTTCAGAGAAATGCTATGTAGGGCTCTTGAAGCCGCGGTGTTAAGAGAAGTAGAACTGGACTAAATTGCAAATTAAGGAAGATTGAAGAGCCTCGTGA